TGGGTTGTAGCCCACGAAAGCTTATGCTCTAATAAATTTGTTAGTCTCTAAGGTGCCACAAGTACTCCTGTTCTTTTTGCGGATACAGACTAACAGGCTGCTACTCTGAGATCTACTGCTTATGATATTTTTCACAAATGGAGTACCCCTCCCTCCCACACACAGCCTTGCGGTATGTCCAGCTACTGCTGTAGGCAGCAAAGTGCCATAACTTTCTCTGAGATGCTGGTTAGGGTATCTAGGGAAATGTGAGGTTAATTTTTCTATGTCAGGTCTGTGTAGGCATGGCAGATGGGGGAAAAGGTATCAGCTGGTTTGGCAGCTGGTAGTTTGGTTGGGATACTTAGCAATGGAGGAGGAGTACTTCACCCATCTCTCCTCTATTGGGTATCCCTCATTCATCTCCTATGCCTCCTGGTCATCTCCCAGGAAAAAGCTGCACAAATACCTTGCTTTCGTAAACAAGTTATTTTGTCTTTTGGAAGAAAATGGCAATGGAATAGGAGAAGATCTGGGGCATTGGACACTAGATAGAGTGAGTGAGGGCAGTTGTGTTATCATGGCAACAGGATTACCAGAAATAGTCAGGAAAATCTTTAAATGGATTCTGAAAAGAAAAGAGGAGTACACTCTGCTCTATTTTTGTGAAAACACCCATGGATTTTAATGGCAGTCCTGTACATGGAATGATGAGCACTTATTTCCCATCAGTCAGCCATTGTTTGGTGTTTTGTCAAAGAAAAATCTCTAGGCAACGGTATCAGCATTATGCTGGTATTATGAGCTCTCCAATACAATCTTGAATGCTAGGGTTTGGGAAGATCACCTGGGTCAGAACTGTTCCAAATAGGCTGTCTATCATTAACTTTTGAAAGGAGGGGCTTGTGATCACCAACAAATGCATGGAACACAGGAACTTCAATAGACCAGTCATTGATAGTGTTTTAAAACCTTACAGGTTTTGGACGGAAGTATTTTTGTTTTGTTGTGAACATAAATACTATAGTTCTATTTAATATGCATAGCCATCCATGTACTTTTGAAGTGCTTTATCAAAAGGAACTAGCGGGGGACTTTATAGACAGAAGATGCTGAACTCATGCTTTGGAGGGACCTTTTCCAGAAAGTATGTACCTGCCAAGGATTCCACCAAAGCTTTAGGTTGAGCCATGGGAAGGCAAGCAAAATAATAAAATGGACTCCAAGGCTTCTCCAAATTCAGGAGATTTTCTGACCTTTAAAAAGAAAGAGATCTTATTTATTTATATTTAAGAAACTATCACTGAATGCAAAATGAGCCAGATTCTGCACTATAGTACACCTGCACAATCCCATTGACTGCAGTGTGGTATAAGAGCAGAATTTAGATGGGCTTCTAAACCTATCATCTGTGAGTTTAGAGTAAGTTAAAGGAGGGAAAGGCTTCCAGGGAAGGATGTTTATGGCTGTAGGAAATAAGTACATTGTGGTTGCATCTTCAGGAGATGATTCTGTTTGTTGTTTCTTTTCAGTGGTGTAAGGAAAATCAGCTCTAAGGTCAGAACATGAACCATCTTGTCACTGCTACTCATCAAAGCTTCCCTGAAACAGAATGCCCTAGTGCAGTGGTTCTCAATTTTTTTTTTCCCCCCATGGACCACTTGAAAGTTGCTGAGGGTCTCGGCGGACCACTTAATAATCTTTCCAAATGTTGTTTGTACCATTAGCTAACTATTGTAAAGCGCTTTGGATAAAAGCGCTATATAAAAAAAACCTTAATAATAATTAACATTTTTTTGTTCTACAAATAAAAGCACACAACTCACATTTTAATATCAGTAGTCTTACCTTTCTAATGTGATGGATGTGCCCTCTCTCCCCTGCCACAGCAGCCCCTGAGCTGGGGCTGGGAAGGAGGGGGGTCTCTCCCTCGCCATAGCAGCCACAGAGCTGAGGCTGGGAAGGAGAACCGTCTCTCCCTGGCAGCTGCAGCCCTGGAGCTGGGGAAAGTTGCCTCTTTCTCTGGCCACCGCAGCCCTGTATGTCCCAAATTCCCCCCACCCCGTCTTCTCACCCCACTGCCCCCTCCCACCTACCTCCTATTCCTCCCAAGGCCACCACCTCACCTTACATGTGTGTCTTCTCCAGGGTCCAGGCACCTAATTAGTGGAGCCACGCTTACGCGGCTCCGTTAATTAGGTGGGTGGCCCTTCATTCTGTCGTCTGCGGCCGCCCAGGCGCGCATCTTAGAGGGAACTATCCGCGGACCACCTGAATGGAGCTCGGCCCACAGTTTGAGAACCTCTGCTCTAGTGCAAAGAGTTGTCACTTCAGTGCTCCTTAGCAGTGTATGGAGAGGTACAGGCTTAGTTTCAGGCATTTATCTAAAACTTTCATTTCAAATTTGGGGGGGGAGGGATAGCTCAGTGGTTTGAGCATTGGCTTACTAAACCCAGGGTTGTGAGTTCAATCCTTGAGGGGGGACCATTTGGGGATCAGGGGCAAAATCAGTACTTGGTCCTGCTAGTGAAAGCAGGGGGCTGGGCTCAATGACCTTTCAAGGTCCCTTCTAGTTCTAGGAGATGGGATATATCCATTAATTATATTATTATTTAAATACCTCTATCAAGGGGAGTATGGTTAACCAGGCATCCATTGGTTAACCACATTGATCAAAGCTGTTTCCTTTTTTTTGGAAAAGGTGTGGAGGGAAGAGGTGTGTTTTTATATTTATCTAAAAAGATAATATATCCTGATAAGTGGAAGGGGGTGGAGATGGCCTACTTTTTCTTCCAAATGATTGGGCACATTTAGTTCATGTCATAGGCGTGCGTACGGGGTGTGCCGGGTGTGCCCAGGCACACCCTAATGTCTCAAAAAAAAAAAAGTGGCTTTGCGTTTTAATTTAAGTAAAGTTCAGTTGTTAATTTTAAAAAAATTAAGTTTAGTTAAGTTTTAATTTCTTTAGTTTGATGAATAAAAATAATGTCCTTTATGACTGAGTATTCAATAAATGTTCGCCTTTAAATATAAATAAATAAATAAATAAAATTCCCTGGGTGCACACCCTAATGAAATGTGCTGTGCATGCCTATGGTTCATGTTTTTGTGC